GGAGTCCAGATCTGAAACCATGTCCTTGTGACAAGCTCAAACCCGAAAGTGACTCCATTTAGCACTAAGAGTGACCATTTTCTCTAACAAGGGAAGATCTAAACAATGAAGTGTCAAGGTGGTAGCTTTATACTTAAGATGACCGCTACAACAATGCAAAGGCCGAATCTATAGACTCTTTCTTGTTCCAAGCTCTCAACTATTCCAGAAATGCTCTAAACACACACTCTTTTAACCTTACACACTCAAAAATGGACGGTTAGTTTGCTAGGGTTTTCTTCTGGATGATAGGGTGGTAAGGGAGGCTGGGGAGGGGAGTTAAGGTTCTTTAAATAGGGTGCAAACCCTAAAAATCAGGGTTTTCATTTCCAGCTCCAACTCGTCGAGTCGATCCTATTATGCACATGGTCATATGAGTTTCTACACGACGAGTTAGGGCCTTCCAACTCGTCGAGTAGGCTTTCTAAAATGCCCAAAATCCCTAGAATTTCATTCCTCGAAATCGGGATGTTACACCACAGAGCCCGGTTCCTTGCTAAACCCCCTGTAAGTTGATTTATGCTTACCGTACTTTAAGTATAACTTATGTTTAAGTTCATTATCATTATTATGAACCTATAAACAAGATTTATCAATGATTCCAAGTCATTAGACTGATTTATCTACTTATGGGGATGATGTCTAGGTTGTGATTTAGTGAGGTGGTTAAAGTAGGATTTCCAAACATTATACTTCGTATACCAAATGGACCCTACCTCTGATATAATCCTACCTGGTTGTTCCTTACTTAATATATCATGAAAGCAGACATTGATTTAATGATGAATCTAGACTAGTAATTAGTCACAATAAATATTAGACTAAGACTTAGCGATAATAATGCTAGATTACATCAAAGGAAAAGATAATTGCTAGAAGCGAAGCGCTGCTCGAATTTCGAGTCGTCACTTTAACAAGTGAGTGCATAGTTACTTTCATCTTACACATAGATATGAAGCATTTAATATAAATTACATGATATGTGTGCATATTATATGTGTTCTTGATATCTATGATGGATGAACCGAATATACATGTTTTATTTGATATAAACTATATATGTATTTTATACCTGTAAAAATATTACGTAAAGATGGATAGAGGAATGATGATGGATGAAAGCTGATATAGTTAAACATTGGTAGCTATGGACTTAATGCCCTATAGTTAAACATTAGCAGTTGAAACACAACTTATAGATGTTTTTGAACTACGATGTACTCTAAACATCCTGGCAACTGCGCCAAAAGGATAATATCGGTAGCTGCGCCTAATAAAGAACATCATAATCCTGGCAGCTGCGCCTAAAGGATAATATCGACAGTTGTGCCTAATAGAGTACGTCATAATCCTGGCAGCTACGCCTAAAGGATAATATCTGCAGCTATGCCTAATAGAGAACATCATAATCCTGGAAGCTGTGCCTAAAGGATAATATCGGTAGATGCACCTAATAGAAAACATCATAACCTTGGCAGCTGCACCTAAATGATAATATTGGCAGCTGTGTCTAATAGATAACATTGGCAGCTGTGCCATTGGCAACGATGGACTTTGTGCCTATTCCTTAGGAGAATCCTTAGGAATGAATGAGTGAATGATAAATGATTCTTAGGGTAGATCCTTAAGAATAAAGAACATAATGGAGATGAGTAATTGTGCTAATTGTTTGATAATGAAACATAATAACTTTATTATTGTGGGTTGAAAACCCTATGTACTCACTAGGTTTCCCAACTTAATACACTCTCTTTATTTGTATCACAGGTGTCGATGTGAAGCCACATTACACCGAGAGATTAAAAGAGACGTAGATCATTAGTGTAAATGAATGTAAGGTCTGTTTATGCTTATGTTTCAGTATTGATGGTGACATCCCAATGTTTTAAAATGAATAAAATACATTTTTTCGAAAATGCTTTGATAATGTATTTATCATGTTTTTTTGGGAACAAATTCCACAATATTTTTCTTTAAAATGATACTCTGGTTTTCAAATAAAGCATAAATAAATTGGTCTTTTCTGGCCGTGAAATTGGGGATGTCACATGGCTGGACTTCCAGGGGAGACGGTAGTGGATGAAGGAAAGAAAACAGAAGAAGGTCGTGGGTTAAGAGATGTGGATCGACGGTCGTGGTTTCAGGGCACTTTGGCAGTGGATTCAAGGCGGTGGCGGTGGCTTCAACGACAGTGGTTGCATCGACGTAAAGACTCGAGATTCATAAACTGAATAGACATGGTTGCCTGACGTTCCATTGGCATCAATGTGACCGAAGGAGGAGAGTGACAATAGGCCAATGATGACTTGGGGAAGGATAAACATGGTGAATGATGAAGAGGAAGGGAAAGAAGGTCATGGCGGCGACATCAGGGAAGAAAGAAATTGAGAAACTGACGTATGAATGGGGTTTTTGGTTTCAATTTTCTTTTAATTTGGGATGAGTTTTAATTAATATATGGATTTAAAATTTTTATTTATAGACTACACACGAAAATTAACTCAAATTATAAAGACTATTCTTATAACTTAAATAACTTCTAGAAAAGTAGACATGTGTCACTTCCTAATTTGTTCCTACACATTTAACCTAAAATTTATTTTCTATTGATTTTGATTATATATATATATATATATATATATATATATATATATATATATATATATATATATATATATATATATATATAATCGTCGTCGTCTTAAGTCACGTCTTATAAACTACATGACTCGAAAAAACTTATGTTTGATATTGCCGCTAAATGATCACGTCTAATGTTATTTACAACATTAGATATGATCAAATCAAGTGATATGTGAATCAAATGGAGTCATTATCTCTAATCGTTGTCCAAAATCTTTAAGCATATAATAAAGGCTTGGTCGATCCAGTACTGGTTAAATTCAATTTAAACGGTATATTAATCAAATTGTTAAAACAATAATTTAAAATCATTAAAAGATGTTTAAAATAGTAAGATTATAAAAAATATGATATTTTAATGTTTATAAATAGTAACATGATATTTATATACTTGATGCACTTAGAAATAACATCGATGTATTATTTTGAATCAAACCCTTTATCCATTCTTTTTTACTCCTTCCGTAAACATGTATTAATAAGATTCTATATACCGATTTTAAAGCATGAAATACGACATAAAAGTTTTTATTCATGTTCTTGTGTCGATACATTTAGAAATTTAATTATTTATGAAAATATCAAAGCTATTATTGATTAGATAAATTTTTATATGTTAAATTATTATTTAAATAAATAACATGTAATATGGTCGTTTCTGATGTCAATGTCATCTTCAATTATTTAAAACCCAAAGTAATAAATAATACAATTAAAACTTTTATTTTATTAGATTTATACTTATTAATATCACTTTAATATTAAATTATTTAACATGACTTCATTTCATGTTCATGTACATGTAAACTACAAAAAAAAACTACAAAATTTCATTAATACGCAACTAAAGTCAAACCTAATCACTATCGTTTTCCTTTTATAAATATATGAAATATATGGTTGATTAAAATGATCATCAAATAAAATAAATGTCACATAAATAGTAAAATTCATATCAAACATGAGAAAACAAATAACGTAAACAACAAGAAAATCGTTTAAAAGAAGCAAAAAGAACAAAAGGATTTATATCCCCCGTAAACTATTTATAGGACCACATTATTAAAAAAATTTAGTTTTAGGGTACACACAGCCATACAGGTTTTAAGATTTTAGTTTTAGTTTTTTTTTTAATAAAAAAAATTGAAAATTGTCTTGTATATCTTTTTTCTTTAAATTATGTTCTGTTTAATTTTTTTTTAAAAATATCATAATTTTATATATTTAAAAAACTTTTAACTAATTTTATTAAACATTAATATATAAATAAAAATTACAACTTTTATCTAAAAATCTGTAACTGCCAACTAATTTTATCAAAAACTTTTTTAAGTTTTATTCAATCAAAATGAATGATCTTCCAATATAAACGAATGGACCAAACAAACCCTGTGGTTTAAATTTTTTCAAACCAGACAACAAATTTACAGACTTCTCAAATTCACCACATATATTCTTTCAAGAAACCAAAAAAACCTAAAAAGATGTATTAACGTAGAGAGAGAAAGAAAGAGAGAGGGGGGAGAGAGAGAGAAGAGAGAGAGAGAGAGAGAGCAGTGGGGAAAGGTAAAGGTGAGGCGAGAAACTCATTTGCAGAAATACCATCCAGCCAAGGTGACTCTCTCTCACACACACGCACTCTCCTTCGATCCTAATCAATCAATCGGTCGATCGATCGATCAGGTTTGTTGTTAATTGTTATCGCTAATCTAATCATCTATGCCCATTTGTTTTTTTCATCCATCTTCTCAACTTCCCTTTTGAGAACTTTTGGTTTTTGGTGTCTATTCTTTCAGATAACGGAACCCAGATTCTTGTGGTAGTTCGGGGTGTTCTTGGATTCCATGTTTACGGACGATGATTGTCGGTAATTGGTAAGATAAGGTTGGGACTTGACCGGGTTTTCTGGATTTTATGATGTTTTGGATTTCTTTGCTTGTACCCTTGAAGCCCCTTGTGTGATAAGTTCTAAATTTAGGGAAATTGTTTCTGCGTATGGGGTACAACTTACAACCATCTCTTTTTTCTACAAATTTGACGATGCGTTTAACCTAGATCGTTCCGTGAACAAACAGGAATCTCGAACCGATTTGGGTTTCGTTTTCGCTGAGCGTAAGATCGATTTCCGGATCTCTTTAGTTGTTGCCAGCTGTTTATTGAGATAAGCTCGAGGGAAATAAATCAAAATCAAATCTGTTACATCTGCGATTGTTTATCGGAGAGAAAAACAATAAACGTTTGGGATGCATCCTGCTGCTGCTTCAAGGGATTGATTTTATCATCTTCAAGCTGTTAATCGATCAAGAGCTTTTAGAAAAATGGATAAAAAGAAAGTTGTGGCAGCCGTGGGAGATGAGAACGCCTTATTTTTGTTAGGAAATCATACAAACCATGAATCTGATGAGATGGAAACCGATGAAACTAGAATAGAGACTCAAAATAACGATACTGTAACCTGCATATCAGACGACAGGGATGATGAAAACGTGGTGTTCTCAAGAGAATCATCACCTCTCGTAAGTAAATCCACCTTGCTCTCAACAGATTCTGAAGCTATAAAATTTGAAAAATGTTCACAAGAGAAGAAACTTAGTAGACAAGATAGGATTGAATTGGGGCGATTGTTTCAAGGTGCAGTGAGTTCCCATGATTGGGAACTTGCAGAAAGTTTGATCTCTTTAGCAGATCCACAAACACTTAACGATGCTTTATGCATTTCACTGGATTCAATCTGGTTTTTGAGCACCCATCATGAACTCGATGGAATCACTGCTTTAATCAAAACCATAATCTCCAATGGTGCTTCTGATTTCACAAGAGCAGCATTAAGAACTTCCTTCTTAGCTTCATGTGTTTCCGCCTGTCAAAGCCGCACTATGAGCCTTGCAGATACCGTATCCGTAATGGCAAAACGGTAATTTTCTTTTCCCCTTCCCCTTCACCTTTTCTGTTATTTAATCGATAACACCATGATTTTTTTTTTTTTTTTTTTTTTTTTTTTTTTTTTTAGGTTACATGAACGATTACAGGAGTGTAATGGGGATGAAGTGTTAAAAGCCGAAGCTGGTGCTAAAGTCCAGAAGTTCACGGAATGGGCTTTGAAATGTATAGGATTCCATTCCCGTTGTCAAGGGAATAAAGACCGAGTGAATCAGAATTCCGCTGCTCAGGTTCAATTACAGTTGTCAGCTTTCAAGACTTTCTTGGATCTTGCTGGGAATCATTTAACAGGGAAGGATTTCACAGAAGCTTTCGATGCAGCTTGTTTTCCTCTTACTTTATTTTCTAGTTCTTTTGATCCTGGGTGGGCATCAGGTATGTCTGCAACTGCAATTCAAGGGTTGTTGGCCATGTTAGTAGAAGGTGGCGCCGATAATGTCAATCAATGCTTTCTAGAAGCTTCAAGATTCGGAAGCACCGAGCTTGTTCGCATCTTATTGCAAGTACGTTTTTTTTTTTTTTAATTTTTTTTTGATGGAACAACGATTCCATTCCGTTCTTCTCTGATTCCATTCCACCCTTCTCTGATTCCATTCCGATGACTTTCTATTCCAGATTGCTCAAAGAAACAGCTTGGATGTAGACGTTGATTTAGCCCTAGGATTCGCCTCCCACTACTCAAAAATCTCCACCATGGAATGTCTAGTTGAAGAAGGAAACGCGATGGCTTTCCTGGGCCCACTAATGAGAGCTGCCGAACGTGGTTGCATGCAGGTGGTCCAGTGGTTCGTGAAACGAGGCTGCCGGGACATGGAACTGTGTCTAGCCCTAACCGCCGCCACCTCCTCCAGCCAAGTCGAAATCGCCGCCTATCTCCTCCCTCACGTCCCCCAACACGTCCTGGCGGCACTCAGCATCGAAATCCTCAAAGCCGCCGGAGAACGCTCCGGCGGCTCCCTCGAAGGTGTCGCCTTCCTCCTCCAATCCAATTTCCTCGGTGACCCTGCCGCCACGTACGCGGTGGCGGATTCGATTTTGCGGTCGGATGACGACTCGGTGGCACCGGAGCTCCGGGAGTTTTTACAGGAGGAGTGGTCGGAGGCGGCGTTTTTCGCCGGAGTGAGCTCCGGCGAGGTTCATTACTTTAATTTTGTTAGTATTTCAAAGTGGGGTGAGTCTCCGATTAGTTTGATGGATTTACCGGGGCCTTTGAGGGTGGCGATTGCGTATTTACCGCTGTATAGAGAGTGTGTGAAGGCGGGCGGTTGTTTGTTGTCGCAGCAGCTGAGGGGGCGGTTGGTGGAGGCGGTGAAGCGGTTGAGTGGGGTGGTGATGGAGGAGGCGGGACAGGGGCGGGAGCTGTTAGGGATCTTGGAGCAACACCTTCCTCCATTTTTGTTGAAGGGATGATAATGATGATGATGATGATGATGATGATGGTGGTGGTGGTGGTGGTGGTAATGATATGATATGATGAAATGTGTTGTGTTTTAAGAAGTGATGAAGGAATTTTGGATCTTTGTGGATCCTGTTGAATGAATGAATGAATGAATGAATCTTGTGTCAAATGATCTTTGTAGAAGTGATATGACAATAGAGATTTGTGAAAGCTTAAGTGGCATTATTCCAATCTTTAAGAATTTCACTTTGGTAATGTGGTGTTTGGAATTTGCATGAGTTTTTTTCGTAGTTTTAAAAGATTTAAATATGGATTGAATGAAATTGTGTAGGAGGGTTCTAAAGTTTGTTTATTAAAAGTAGAATGGTAACTTAATGCTTAATGGGCCTTCAAGGCTCAAGCATAACCACGTGTTCCAATATTTACCCCAGGTAAGAGGCATGAGTCGATTGCATTTTTTACAACCAATCAATAGCAACTGTAAAAAGAAAAGGGGACCCCATAGTGGTTAATGATAGTTCCAGAATAAATCTATGGACGCAAGTACATTGTATTTTCTAAACACATGTCCTTTCAAATGTTGTATTTCCATTATGCTATATAGCCCTATCAAAAATACCCGTTATCCGGATTATCCACCTGATTTTTTCGGGTATCGGGTTAATTTTTTCGGTTAAGTGAGTAACCTGAATTTTTTTCGGGTCGGGTAAAGGTTAAGTTGTTTGGGTTTCGGGTATACCTGATTACCCGAAATATATATAAGAAATAATGTCCCTTTATGAGTTTATCTAACCCTCCCAATTCCCAAATCCCAATTTCCCTCATTGAGGCTTGTTCTATTTTCCCCACATCAAAAAACCCTCGTACCTCGTCCGCTCTTCGTTGGTATTCGTCACCAATGGATGACTATATTGAAGTAGAAAATGAGACGATTGAAATTGACAACCCAACCAATGATCAAGTTTCACAAGAAAAAGAGAAAATAAATAAATAAATAAAGAATTCAACCCAAAATCGAAAGTTTGGAAAGAATACTTGACATCTCAAATATTATTGAGTAAATAATCTCAATGTTCAAATTTTAGCACGACATACTTATTTAATTACATTTATTTTTAGGTGTCATTAAAAAATTAAAAAAAACATTTAAAAATCGGGTAATACCCGAATTACCCTTACCCGAATTTAATTTGGGTAGGGTAACGAGTATTTTTTTTATATGAAAAACTCGAATTACCCGAAAATTTTACCCGATCAACACCCCACTATATTAATGTGATTGTAGCAATGAAGTTATGGGTTTAGCCTGATTTTGTAATTTATGTATTTTTTTTGTGCAATAGGTCATCTAATTTTTACTTTACATGTCAATTAAGCTATTGTAGTTAGTTTTTAACTATTCACATGTTAACTAGTTATCTAAATTACATGAATGGTCCCTATGATTTAAATTTTTTTCGTAGTTGGTCCCTTACCACCTATGGTTTAAATAACATAACTAAAACGGCCACATTTATGAAACTCTAGGGATTAAAGTGTAAATTTCTTATATTTTCTCCATTAAACCGCTTTCTGAATTGCTAGAATCAAAATCTATTTTGATCGCCTTCTGAACCAAAGTGTAAATTTCTTATTGTTCAAAATTTAGACAATATTTGTGAAATTTCTTTAACATCATCAATCAAAACATTACACCCGATAATGGCAGTCTAGGGAACAACATTTCTCTCATGCATATTATCGAACACTTTGCTGGCAACATTGGTGTACCTAAAATTAATGTAGTGGTTAATCAAGGAAGCATCGTAGGAGTACCCATCGTTAATGGAATGTTGGTGGAAAGAAAGGCCATGTGAGAAGAGGTTTAGAGAATCATACCATGAATAGATAGCTAGAGATGTTAAGCACGAATCTCGAAGCTGCCAACATTTTGACCAACAAATCAATAATACCGGTTCTTGTGAAAATGCTCCGCCAATCAAAGGCCTCTACTTTGGGTGTTCAACTTTCTTCAGTTCTTGGCTTTCCTAATACGTCATTCTACTATTACAGATGATGAATTGTCGAATTCAGGAATATTGGGTGCTTTGAATGAAGGTTTGGTAGATAGACAAGAAAAGGTAGAAAATTCTCGATGGCTGCTTTAGGTGAAGCTCAGATGTTATCAATAACCTCTTGTCCTCTTCTGCTACATATTCCAAGCTTTTGGAAAACAAGTGGTCATCTGTCTCACCATCAGACAATCTTTAGTGCGATTAGTCTATTTTACCCCTCCCACTAAAAACTCACCTTCAAAGAAATTGTCGGAGCCATCTTAAAAGGAGCCACATTCAAAGAAATCGTTGGTCCTTGGCGACAATTTCTTCCCAAACATTGGTTGTCATCTTCTCCTACCGGTGGGGGACAAGAATTTAGTCTCGAATCTTAGGGCAAATTTTGTTGAACTGATAATTAGTGTGATTGTGGATAGGTTGGTGGTGATGGAGAAGGGGGCTTAATTGTAATGTTACAATTTGATCCCCAAAGTTTTAGAAATATGGTAGTTTTAGTCGTTTGATTTTAACCATAGCTAGTAAGGGACGAATTACGAAAAATATTTAAACCATAGGAGCCATTCGTGTAACTAAAAATACTGGTTAACGGAAAAATGATTAAAAACTAACAATAATGATTTAATTGACATGTATAGGAAAAGTTAGACGACTTACTACGTAAAAAAATACATTAATTGTCAAATCGGACCAAACTCATAACTTTATTGCGCTACAATGACATTATCCCTAAATACTATTTGTTGATATCTATATGTACTTAATTGTTCATACAAATTGATTGTCGAAATATAATCAACATCTTTAAATTGCATGTATTTTAAAGACTAGTTGAGTTTGAAGCATAATTTACGTATATGTTGCATGTTGACTCAAGGGGAAGGGGGAGAGTTCATAGTTTGGTCCAAACACTTAGTTGAAAAGTTTAAATCTAAAAAATCCAATTTGGAGTGATTGGTATTATTATTATAGAAAGCATTCATTGATTTCACTTGGCCACTTGGGCCCTTGTGTGTTTTGTATGAGTTTGTGGTTCACATCTCACTTAGGGCATAACATGTATCGTTGACATTTGTTTGAACCCTAATTGGATCTAGGCCTTGTATTTAGTTGAATTTTTCTTTTTGTCTAATCTAGTTGATATATGTGCTGTTTATCCTTATCTAGTCATCAGTCTCGTGTATTGTCTATTTTTGTTGATACGTGAATCTTGTGTATATATTTTGATCTACGATGCATGAGCAACAACTTATGTTAGTATAAATCAAACTGAAAGTGTAACATATCGGTTCAATATTTTCTTTCATTGACCTGTGATATGTGGTTTGTATTAATCAATTAAGGATCTGAAAAAGAATGTCTGCGATTGAGATTAATTAGGATTAATCGTGGGACCAAGGTTTTTGGAAGCAGTAATTTAAGATATTCAATATATTTTGTAAGCTACATGAGAATTAGATTCCTAGAGAAACCCACAGAAATTGTGCTCGCATATGTGATGCCCAATAGTTTTTCTTTTATGATTTTCAGTTGAAGGTACCTTGAGTTCATCACATGCACATGTTCCTTTTACTCGCATGTTCGAGTACTTTGGTTAGCGGGTCTTCAACATGGATATCTTATAATTAGTTTTTAATAGTTAAAGATTGTCAATGTAGTGTGACATTCTTAATTTCGTGCCTACCAAAGTTCGTTTACTCATATGTTTTTAATAGTTAGAGATTTGTGAAAGCTTAAGTGGTATTATTCCAATCTTTAAGAATTTCACTTTGGTAATGTGGTGTTTGGAATTTGCATGAGCTTTTTCGTAGGTTTAAAAGATTAAAGTATAACCAATAATCAAATATATGGATTAAATGAAATGTGTGCAGGAGGGTTCTAAAGTTTGTTTATTAAATGCACAAGGATAAATTACACCACTCGTCCTTAAGTGTTAAAACGTATGTTTAATCACTATTTTCAAAAATTAATCCAGACTGCCTTTTGTTAGATTAAAACTTACATTCTTCATCCCTCTGGACATAAAAAAAAACCTTTTGCCCCTATTTATTTCTTTTTTGATTTATTTTCTATTTATTTGTAATATATTATTTATTTATTTACAAAAGCCTTTTAAAAAAGAAATGGGCCCTAAACATGCTTTCATAACGCGTCCCCCTTCTTCTTCTTCGATGCATCTCCTGTCCACCATCACCACCCTCAACGACGACTCCAATACTTTGTTCACGAGCTAACCCAAGCAAAACCATCACCGATCACATCATAGAAAACCCTCTTATCTCTATGATTTTCGCCTCATAGTTCTTAGCAATCAAGGTGTTGTAGATCCAGTAGGCGACAAGCTGCAGATCCAGAAGGAGACGACATCGTTGGTCTGATGGAGATGGTGACGGTGGTTTGAGAGGGATGACGATCTCCACTCCATCATTGTGCTATCTCTCCGTCTCTCTTTCCATCTCTTTCGGTATCGCATCTGCGCGTACGCACACACACACACGTGTGCAAAGCCGAGCCATGATTTAAGAATAAGGGGGCTGACAATTTTCTGTCCCAATAATATATTAAAATATAATGTTATACCCAAATAAATTAATAATCTAAAATTTTAAAAGAAAAAAATTACAAATAATTAAAAATTTGTCTCGGATAACCTCAAAGAGTTTTCAACTACCTATGATGATTGATTTATATTCATCCATTAACCTATACGTATTAAAATAATTAGTTAGAACTTAGATACATATGGTTCATTTTAGAAAATTAGAATATATATAAACTTCCAGGATTAATTAGCTTAGCTAAGAATCGGTTATATTATCAATCACAAATTATTAGAAAAATAAAATGTAATAAAAATGATAAGTTACCTTTTAAATTAGTAGCAAAAGCAAGAAATTAACCTTCAAAGTGAGTAGCAAAAGGCAAGAAATTGATCAAATTTTAGCAAAAGGGAAGAAATTGATCAAATTTTAACTCTTAGTTTATTTGAAAAGGGTAATGTCCTGTGTGTCAGGTTTAATAATTAGGGTCTAGATATTTGGATATTTTTTATATTCTTAAAGGATGTTTTAATAATTACTTTAATTTTTTTCTTAAAATAAATTAA